TGGTCACCAGAATATTACTCCAGGCTAAATCTATTAATAGCAGATTTGCATGCTTAAACTAACATTAATGTAGCACCCTCCCTAGTTAGGTTTAGGATGCTAGGCACATTTAGTTTGGCTCCTCTGTAGCCAGAGGAGCAGCTTTTGATTGCTTTAGCCTGCTTCACAGGCTGCTATTCTGATTATTTCTCCATGCATTCTAAACGGGTTCTTAAATCACAGTATAAGAAAAGACAGAAGGGCAGTCTGAACAGTTAGGGGCACCCAGCCTATCCCTGGGAAGATGTGCCCAGTAGGTGGCTGGAGAGCCCATCAATAGTTGGAGACCTGGATTCAGAGAGTTGGAGCTGAGATCTGTGTCCAGTCCTGCAAGAGGAGCCCCCCCTGTCCAGGGGCTTCTGCACCTAAGGGCAGTCTGCTGGAACGCCACTTTATAGGACCTTCAGGATCCCAGCTGTAGCATAGCTGGGGACTTATGTCAAAGTCTGGTCTGGGAATTTTGGTCTGGAGAGCTCGCTGAAGAGTACCTGGTGGAAGGTGAAGGAGGTGTGTGCAAATCTCTGTTCTTCAAAAAGGCACTAGTCATTACTCAACCAGTGGATGATTTCCTTGGGAGCTCTATTTTATCTGCCTCATCTACTTTGTAATACATAAATAAAACTAAAATGTGCTGCGTCGCTACTCTCAAGTGATAATAAAAAATTTGTAAATATCCTAATACATGAAAAGTGTAAAACACCCGCTGAGCATACCTCCTAATACAAAATATAAAGTGAAAATAAATACTTCATTCATAAATTCTCGCAAAGTGAATAAATAGTAAATAAAATAATACCAGTACAGAAATAATAAAATGAAAATATACTCAATAAACACCTGGCTGAGTGCCTTTCCTTCAGACAAACTAAGGTGCAACCATATATAATGTAAATAGTGCGAATGATGCTCAAATATAAAAAAAGTGAAAAAATAAACACCCAGCTGAGCATCATGCAAATTATTATATACCAAAACAGTAATAGATTATAAAGTCCACAGACAGTCTTTAGTGCCATAACTCTTCAAATTAGTGATCATCAATTATACAGAAACCGTTGACTGTGCTCCTCCACCAGCTAGCATGCACGGTAACCTCCAACTCTGACCTATGAGCTAATATAGGTCACATGCACTTTAAAAGATGATCTTCCCAAACGCTCTTCTTGATGTCTCTTCATCTGAAGTTCTAGCAGAGAGCATGCAGGCATTTAGCTAACTGTGAAATAGCAGTGACCGGTCCGTCACCTGGTAGAGAGTGTGCACTCCGAGGCTGCAGAACGTGCAAGGTGAGGGCTGGGAGCATCTAGCTACCTACCTATACAAAACACACCGCTACAAACTAACAGGATGGGCTACATACAGGCAGTGAAAACAAGGGGCACCGATACCTATGGTATATAAATGGGGGAAAGGCAGATGGGAACTTAGTTTTATTCATTTGGTTTGTGGGAACACAATTTAGGTGTTTGCTGAAACTCACTTTACTTGGGGATTGGCAGCACAGGAGGATTTTCTGTCTTACTTATACTTTGTAATACAGTGAGTGATCAGCACGAGGAGAAATGTCTGCTTGGGGGTATCCCATGTTCTCTCACCCTATCCAAGTCTCATCCTCAAAATAAAAGCATAAAAAGCACTCCCTAAACTGTTTCTTGAGCCGGAGAGAGAAAGAGAGGAAATACCATGTGTATGGGTGTGTTTGCATCGGTTCTGGGGAAGGAATCAGCATATCATTAGCGGCTCCATAGGGAGTGTGCTACATAAATATTAGTTTTACTTGGAAACAGCAGCATTTCCCTCCTGATCATTACTCAGAATCCTAATTCAGATGCTTTATGTATGTAATTTCCTATCCAGGGGACTGGGATCTAGTAGCTGCTGTCTTTAGCAGAAGAACTGGTCTCCTTTGCTTATGTCTTCATATTAGCATTTAAGGGAACAGTGGGCAATATTAACAAACTGCAGCCAGAGATGTTGTATGGGTATTGGAGGTGTGAACAGAGGACAAGATTACTCCCCATGACACTACTCACAGACCCAACAATGCGATGTCCACAGAGGAAAAAGAACCCAATTGCATGAAGGGACATTTTAATTTTTTGTGAGCAGCAATGGGGGAAATTATGTAATCTAGGACGATGTCACAGTTACTAATACCTTTGGTTTTTGGTTTCATTTGATGTTTCAGCGCAAAAACAGATTATAGATAGATTGTGAGTAAGTAAACAGGAAGGTTTTGGAGGTTTCTTGATGGTATCTTGTAGATGAGCTTTAATACAGGAAGCCCCTGAACAGAGACAAAGCTTCACACTAGATTATTGCACAGGTCTGGAAGAAATTCACAATCACACTTAGATTCAAGTAAGAATACACTTGTCTTCAGTTTTAGACAATATTTACCTATCCCCAAGTTCAGTTTTACTATACTAAAAATTATCACTCAACCTCACAACATTTGCAGTATATTAGATATATATTATATGCCTCATTTGTGCACTAGCACATTCAGATGGTGCAGCTAAAACATATTATTTGACACAGATGTTCTTTTTAAACCGCTTCCCGTCCGCCCTATAGCAGATATTACAGTGCGACTGTTAGGAATGAGACTGGCCAGCAATGGTGGGACTCACCTGCCTTTTGATCTGCAGTACCAGGGCTGGCCAGCGGGTGCTCCCAGCAATCAGAGACTCAACCTTTCAGCCAGCTAACACCTGGAACTGATGATACTGGGGTATTTAAGGGATGGCCAGACTTGCAGACTCTGCCTTGGTGTTGTGTTTCTCTTGGCCCTGTATCCTGTTCCTGCTCTCTGTTCCTGTCTGATTCTCTGCTACCCCCTGTCCTGATCCCTGGCTTGTGACCCTGACCATCTCTCTGCTTGACCCTCTGTACTACGCTGCTTGCTACCTGCTGAACCTGGCCTGTGACCCCGACCATTCTCTGGCTTGCTCCCCCTGTACCTACCTGCCCTATTGATATTGACCCGGCCTGCCTGACGACGCTTGCTTGTATATACTGTTATCATTGTGGTGGTTGGTTTGGTTTTGGTTGCACTTTTATTATGTTTTTTAGTATTGCACTGCGTTTATGTTTGTATTGTTAGTGTTAATAAATTGTATTGTTTATCACATATCTGAAGTCTGCGTTTCCCTGCATCAGTCCACACACCTCTGGTCATACCTTGGGAGCCTGACAATACACCAAGGCCAATCCTGACCAGAAGTGGCTGCACAGGGAAGCCATCTTGGCTTGTTGATGGGAAGGATGGGATCTTGAGGAGGTTGAGTATTTATATCTACTAGTGTTTGATGACAGGGAGATATGCTTATCAAACTCATGAAGGAGTATACCCGGGATGAATTGCTAGAATGTATACGGCTCGCTCATGTTCTAGTAGATCAGGGCACAGTGTTCTCTTTTTTTATTTGATTGAGGTTTGTGCAGAGTTGGTTTCATCTGGTTCCCCCGAATGCAGGGATGAATTTTTTGCCACCATTTAGTGCAGACCAGGTAGAGTCCCTGGTGTGGTTATTAGAGGATGATGGTGGTTTACCTTTTGGAGCGTTACTCCACATGTTCACCACAGACACTAAGAGATTGTATCAACGCAGTGCAGTCATTGACCAGACAGGCTTTGTGTAAGCTCAGCTTTGTTCAACCCCTACTGCAGACATGGACAGACTTGTTGCACCCAGCCTCAGTCAGCTACAAAGACCCAGTCCTGCTTCTAACTCTACTCCTGTATTCCCACCAGCTCCTCCTGCCCTGCTATCTACCGCATGTCAGTCCCCTGTTTCCCACTCGCTGCACCCTATCCTGCCTTTAACCCTGTAAAAGAGCCCTCTGTAGCAACTGCTCCCTCCCCTGTTTCCATCCTCCAGTTTTCTCTGTCTCCAGGTGCTCCATTCGTTTGCAGACCTGCGTTTTACTTGCAGTGCTCCAGTAGTTAAAACCAGAAAAAAGCGAAAATTCTTTCCAACCAATACCATCCTGCCAGTATCCAAACCGTGAGCCTGCCTTCCGTGACTCGGCCTGAAGCCTCTACTCAGGCCTGAAGCCTCTACTCAGCCTGAAAGCCTCTACTCGGCCTGATGCCTGTACTCGGCCTGATGCCACTCTCTTCAGCCGGATGCCTCTCTTCAGCCGGATGCCTCTCTTCAGCCGGATGCCTCTCTTCAGCCGGATGCCTCTCTTCAGCCGGATGCCTCTTGGTACTTCAGCCGGATGCCTCTCCTCAGCCTGAAGCCTCTCCTCAGCCTGAAGCCTCTCCTCAGCCTGAAGCCTCTCCTCAGCCTGAAGCCTCTCCTCAGCCTGATGCCTGCATTCAGCCTGATGCCTGCATTCAGCCTGATGCCGCTACTCAGCATGATGAACTGATCCAGCCCGACGATCCTATTAGGCCATTTGACTCGATGCCCGCTGTTGATCCAGATGATCCGGTACCTGATCCAGTGCCCGCTGTCGTGCCAATTGACTCAGAGCCCGCTGTCATACCTGGTGACCCGTGCCCACTGCCTTGCCAGATGACGCGGTGCCCGCTGGCAAGCCAAATGACCTGATGCCTGGTGACCCAGTGCCCGATGTCATACCTGGTGACCCGATGCCCCTCTGTCGAGCCAGACGATCCAATGCCTGGTGACCCGGTGCCCACTGCCTTGCCAGATGACGCGGTGCCCGCTTTCAAGCCAAATGACCTGATGCCTGGTGACCCAGTGCCCGCTGTCCAGTCAGACGATCCAATGTCTGACCCAGTGCCCGCGTTTCATACCAGTTGACTTGGAGCCCACTGCCTTGCCAGATGACGCGGTGCCCGCTGTCGAGCCAAATGACCTGATGCCTGGTTTGACCCAGTGCCCGCTGTCCAGTCAGACGATCCAAATGTCTGACCCAGTGCCCGCGGTCATTTGACCAGTTGACTCGGAGCCCACTGCCTTGCCGGATGACACGGTGCCCGCTGTCGAGCCAAATGACCTGATGCCTGGTGACCCAGTGCCCGCTGTCCAGTCAGACGATCCAATGTCTGACCCAGTGCCCGCGGTCATACCAGTTGACTTGGAGCCCACTGCCTTGCCAGATGACGCGGTGCCCGCTGTCGAGCCAAATGACCTGATGCCTGGTGACCCGATGCCCACTGTCCAGACCAGACCATACAATGTCTGACCCAGTGCCTGCGGTCATACCAGTTGACTCGGCAGCCCACTGCCTTGCCAGATGACGCGGTGCCCGCGGTCGAGCCAAATGACCTGATGCCTGGTGTGACCCGATGCCCGCTGTCCCGGGTCATCAGACGATCCAATGTCTGACCCAGTGCCCCGCGGTCATACCAGTTGACTTGGAGCCCACTGCCTTGCCAGATGACGCGGTGCCCGCTGTCGAGCCAAATGACCTGATGCCTGGTGACCCGATGCCCGCTGTCCAGCCAGACCATACAATGTCTGACCCAGTGCCTGCGGTCATACCAGTTGACTCGGAGCCCACTGTCGTGCCTGGTGACTCGGTGCCCGCCGCTCCGCCTGGGGGCCCGAGACCTGTTGCTACCGCTTGGGTGTCGTGCCAGCGCCCGCCGCTCCAGCCTGGGGATCCGGCGCCCGCCGCCCCGCCTGGGGGCCTGAGACCTGTCGCTCCGCCTGAGGGTCCGAGACCTGTCGCTCCACCTGGGGGTCCGGCGCCCGCCGCTCCGCCTGAGGGCCCGAGACCTGTCGCTCCATCTGGGGTCCGGCGCCCGCCGCTCCGCCTTTAGGGCCCGAGACCTGTCGCTCCACCCTGGGGGTCCGGCGCGCCGCCGCTCCGCCTGAGGGCCCGAGACCTGTCGCTCCACCTGGGGGTTCGGCGCCCGCCGCTCCGCCTGAGGGCCCGAGACCTGTCGCTCCACCTGGGGTCCGGCGCCCGCCGCTCCGCCTGAGGGCCCGAGACCTGTCGCTCCACCTGGGGGTCCGGCGCCCGCCGCTCCGCCTGAGGGCCCGAGACCTGTCGCTCCACCTGGGGTCCGGCGCCCGCCGCTCCGCCTGAGGGCCCGAGACTTTGTCGCTCCATCTGGGGGTCCGGTTTGCCCGCCGCTCCGCCTGAGGCCCGAGACCTGTCGCACTCCTCCTGGGGGTCCGGCGCCACCGCGCGCTCCGCCTATGGGCCCGAGACCTGTCCGCTCCGCCTGGGGGTCCGGCGCCCGCCGCTCCGCCTGAGGGCCGAGACCTGTCGCTCCGCCTGGGGGTTCCGGCGCGCCGCCGCTGCTCCGCCTGAGGGCCCGAGACCTGTCGCTCCGCCTGGGGGGTCCGGCGCCCGCCGCTCCGCCTGAGGGCCCGAGACCTGTCGCTCCGCCTGGGGGTCCGGCGCCCGCCCGCTCCGCCTGGGGGGGCACGATGCCTGTCGCCCCGCCTGGGGCACGATGCCTGTCGCCCCACAGCCCCCCTGGGGGCACGATGCCTGTCGCCCCGCCAGGGGGCACTTATGCCTGTCGCCCGCGCCTGGGGGCACGATGCCTGTCGCCCCGCCTGGGGGCACGATGCCTGTCGCCCCGCCTAGGGGCACGATGCCTGTCGCCCCGCCTGGGGCACGATGCCTGTCGCCCCGCCCGGGGGCCCGGTGCCTGCTGCTCCGCCGGGGGGCACCGGTGCCTGCTGCTCCGCCCGGGGGCCCTGTGCCTGCTGCTTCCGCCCGGGGCCCGGTGCCTGCTGCTCTCGCCCGGGGGCCCGGTGCCTGCTGCTACCGCCCGGGGGCCCGGTGCCTGCTGCTCCGCCCGGGGGCCCGGTGCCTGCTGCTCCGCCCGGGGGCCCGTGTCTGCTGCTCCGCCCGGGGGCCCGGTGCCTGTCGCCCCGCCCGGGGGCCCGGTGCCTGTCGCCCTCGCCCGGGGGCCCCGGTGCCTGCTGCTCCGCCCGGGGGCCCGGTGCCTGCTGCTCCGCCCGGGGGCCTCGTTCCTGCTGCTCCGCCCGGGGGGTCCCGGTGCCTGTCGCCCCGCCCGGGGGCCCGGTGGCCTGTCGCCCCGCCCAGGGGCCCGGTGCCTGTCGCCCCGCCCGGGGGCCCGCTGCCTGCTGCTTCGCCGCCTGGTAATCCGATGTGCCTCTGCCCGGACCTGCCCGATGTGCCTCTGCCGGAGTCCTGCCCGATGTGCCTCTGCCCGGAGTCCTGCCCGATTGGAGTCCTGCCCGATGTGCCTCTGCCCGGTGGTGGGGGGGGGTTCCTGCCCGATGTGCCTCTGCCCGGAGTCCTGCCCGATGTGCCTGTCTGCCCGGAGTCCTGCCCGATGTGCCTCTGCCCTTTTGTCCTGCCCGATGTGCCTCTGCCCGGAGTCCTGGCCCGATGTGCCTCTGCCCGATGTGCCTCTGCCCGGTGTGCCTCTGCCCGATGTATTGCCTCTGCCCGTGTGTGCCATCTGCCCGGAGTGCCTCTGCTGCGATGTGCCGCTGCCCGGAGTCCTGCCCGGTTGCCAGTTTTTGCTATCCCGCCAGTTGCCAGACCCGGGCGGTGTGAAAGGGACGTTTTTTTGCCCATTAGGACTGTTTGGAGCGTCCTTTTCGGGCCGCTCCTTTTGAGGGGGGGTACTGTTGTTTTTTTGGACTGGCCAGCAATGGTGGGACTTCACCTGCCTTTTGATCTGCAGTACCAGGGCTGGCCAGCGGGGGCTCCCAGCAATCAGAGACTCAACCTTTCAGCCAGCTAACACCTTTAACTGATGATACTGGGGTATTTAAGGGATGGCCAGACTTGCAGACTCTGCCTTGGTGTTGTGTTTCTCTTGGCCCTGTTATCCTGTTCCTGCTCTCTGTTCCTGTCTGATTCTCTGCTACCTGTCCTTGATCCCTGGCTTGTGACCCTGGTACCATCTCTCTGCTTGACCCTCTGTACTACGCTGCTTGCTACCTGCTGAACCTGGCCTGTGACCCCGACCATTCTCTGCTTGCTCCCCTGTACCTACCTGCCCTATTGATATTGACCCGTTGTTGCCTGACGACGCTTGCTTGTATATACTGTTATCTGATGGGTGGTTGTTTGGTGTTTTTGTTCTTTGCACTTTTTGTTATGTTTTTAGTATTGCACTGCGTTTAAATGTTTTTATTGTTTATGAGTTTAATAAATTTGTATTGTTTATCACATATCTGAAGTCTGCGTTTCCTGCATCAGTCACACACCTCTGGTCATACCTGGGAGCCCTGACAGCGACACGGGTTCGCAAATCAAGTATATATACATAATTATACATAACGCAAAAAATAAAAAACACACAGGTAATCAAATACCACCAAAAGAAAGTTTTCAATTCATGGAAAAAAAGGATGGAAATTCCATTTGGTGCAGCATTGCATGACCGTTCTGCAATTATCAGTTTAAAGTAGCGCAGCAATGTAACGCAAAAAAGTAAAAACAAATGTATGGGGGTGGTAGTCAGACTACGAAGGGGGGGCAAATGGCCAGGTCAGGAGGGCAACATACCTTACAGAGGTTTAAACAAAAAATCTAATGTTGAAGATGACCTAAAGTTAACACTTGTATGACTAGTAAAATTAAGCCATTAGATAACCCCATGTGTAAAGATAAATATCTAAGGTCTAATGCCACTAATAGTGGTAAGTACTTTCAGGGATGGAGCCAATAATTTCTAGGCCACCAGAAAAAAAAACCCTCCCCCTAACCAGTTGACTAAGAGAAGGTCTTAACTGTATTAATAAAGCAGCAGAAAGAACTATTATGAGAAAAGATATTAACGCACGTGTAGAGCCGCTTTTGCTGTCATTATGGCATTGTAAAGGTACTGTAGCGCTGCCATACAGTAGGTGTAAACAATCAGGGCTCAGAGCACCCCCCCCCCAAGTAGCTATAGCAAGTGGAAAGGCTCACACAGAAATCAGCTTGATAAATATGCAAGAAGATTCCCCCTGGCAGGTGATGCAGGCCATCTGAGGCACTGGGTCTAAGCATTAACTAGTTTTCACCACAGATGAGTTTCATTGCATGCTCATGCCAGGTCATGGTCCTCAAATTTTGCCCTCACAAGGAGGTGAGCATCCCTTGGTGCTGTAGAAGATGTAGCAGGTAGGGATTAAGCAGAAGCGTAGTTGGAAACAAGCCAAAGGTGTGTAACAAATGGTTTCAGGTTGGGATCAATCAGAAGCATGGTCAAGAACAAGCCAAAACTCAGTAACAAATTGCAATGGAGATGCAGATGGCATACAGGAGGGTAAGTGGTCAGATACTGTCCAGAAAAAGAGCACAATAATCTGGCAAACAGGAAGTGCAAAGGTATGGCTTCAACAGGAGGTTTCATAGGAGGAGCAAGGACTTTGTCAGGAATGGACTGGCCAGCAATAGTGGGACTCAGCTGCCTTATGAGCTGCAGTACCAGGGCTGGCCAGCGGGTGCTCCCAGCAATCAGAGACTCAACCTTGCAGCCAGTCAAACACCTGGAACTAATTATACTGGTGTATTTAAGGGACATTCAGACCTGCAGACTCTGCCTTGGTGTTGTGTTTCTCTTGGTGCCCTGTATCCTGTTTCTGCTCTCTGTTCCTGTCTGATTCTCTGCTGACCCTGCTCTGATCCCTGGCTTGTCTGATTCCATTCTCCTCTGCCTGACCCTCTGTACCACGCTGCCCCGCTACCTATGCTGAACCTGGCCTGTGACCCCGACCATTCTCCGCTTGCTCCCCCTGTACCTACCTAACCCGACTGATATTGACCCGGCCTGCCTGACGACGCTTTGCATTGTATGTACTGTTATCTGTGGGTGGTTGGTTGGTTTGGTTTGCAACTGTGTTATGTGTTTTAGTATTGCACTGCTTTATGTTTGTATGGTTATGTGAATAAATTACATTGTTTATAACATATCTGAAGTCTGCGTTTCCCTGCGTCAGTCACACACCTCTGGTCATACCTGGGAGCTCTGACATTACACCAAGGCCAATCCCTGACCAGAAGTGGCTGCACAGGGAAGCCATCTTGGTTTGTTGATGGGAAGGATGGATCTGGATGAGGTTGTGTATTTATATCTGCTAGTGTTTGATGATAGAGAGTATGCTTATCAAACCTCTGAAGGAGTATCCCCGGGATGAACTGCTAGAATGTATACGGCTCGCTCATGTTCTAGTAGATCAGGGCACAGAATTCTCTGAGGTGCAGCCTTTGATTGAGGTTTGTGCTGAGTTGGTTTCATCTGGTACCCCCCCGAATGCAGGATGAATTTTTGCCACCATTTAGTGCAGACCAGGTAGAGTCCCTGGTGTGGTTATTAGAGGATGATGTGGGTTACTTTCTGGAGCGTTATTCCACATGTTCACCACAGGTACTAAGAGATTGTATAAACGCAGTGCAGCCTTTGGTCAGACAGGCTTTGTGTAAGCTCAGCTTTGTTCAACCCATACTGCAGACATGGACAGACTTGTTGCACCCAGCTCAGTCAGCTTACAAAAACACAGTCCTGCTTCTAATCTATTTCCTCAAAACTCTATTCCTGCATTCCCAACAGCTCCTCCTGCCCTGCTATCTACCGCATGTCAGTACCTGTTTCCCACTCGCTGCACCTATCCTGCCTTTAACCTGTAAAAAAGCCCTCTGTAGCAACTGCTCCCTCTCCTGTTCCATCCTCCTTCAGTTCTTCTCTGTCTCCAGCTGCTCCATTCGTTTGCAGACCTGCGTTTACTTGCAGTGCTCCAGTAGTTAAAACCAGAAAAAAGCGAAAATTCTTTCCAACCAATACCATCCTGCCAGTATCCAAACCGGTGAACCTGCCTTCCGTGGTTCAGCCTGAAGCCTCTACTCAGCCTGAATCCTCTACTCAGCCTGATGCCTGTACTCAGCCTGATGCCTGTACTCAGCCTGATGCCTCTACTCGTCTGATGCCTGTACGCAGCCTGATGCCTCTCTTCAGCCTGAAGCCTCTACTCGGCCTGAAGCCTCTACTCGGCCTGAAGCCTCTATTCGGCCTGATGCCTCTACTCGGCCTGAAGCCTCACTCGGCTGATGCCTCTACTCGGCCTGATGCCTCTACTCGGCCTGATGCCTCTATTCGGCCTGATGCCTCTACTCGGGAACCTGAAGCCTCTACTCGGCCTGAAGCCTCTATTCAGCCTGAAGCCTCTACTCAGCCTGAAGCCTCTACTCAGCCGGAACGCCGGCATTCAGCCTGATGCCTCTACCCAGCATGATGAACTGATCCAGCCTGACGATCCTATTAGGCCAGTTGACTCGATGCCCGCTGTTGATCCAGATGAATCCGGTTACCTGATCCGGTGCCCGCTGTCGTGCCAATTGACTCAGAGCCCGCTGTCGTACCTGGTGACTCGGTGGCCCACTGCCTTGCCATATGACGCGGTGCCCGCTGGCGAGCCAAATGACCTGATGCCTGGTGACCCAGTGCCCGCTGTCATACCTGGTGACCCGATGCCCGCTGTCGAGCCAGACGATCCAAAGCCTGGTGACCCGGTGCCCACTGCCTTGCCAGATGACGCGGTGCCTGCTGGCAAGCCAAATGACCTGATGCCTGGTGACCCAGTGCCCGCTGTCATACCTGGTGACCCGATGCCCGCTGTCGAGCCAGACGATCCAATGTCTGGTGACCCGGTGCCCACTGCCTTGCCAGATGACGCGGTGCCTCGCTGGCAAGCCAAATGACCTGATGCCTGTGACCCAGTGCCCGCTGTCATACCTGGTGACCCGATGCCCGAGCTGTCGAGCCAGACAATCCGGTACCTGATGAACTGGTGCCCACTGTCGTGCCTGTTGACTCGGAGCCCACTGCCTTGCCAGATGATGACGCGGTGCCCGCTGTCGAGCCAAAATGACCTGATGCCTGGTGACCCGATAGTGCCCGCTGTCAAGCCAGACGATTCAATGTCTGCCCCAGTGCCCGCTGCGGTCATGCCAGTTGACTCGGGAGCCCACTGCCTTGCCAGATGACGCGGTGCTCGCTGTCGAGCCAAAATGACTTGATGCCTGTGACCCGATGCCCGCTGTTCCAGCCAGACATCCAATGTCTGACCCAGTGCCAGCGGTCATGCCAGTTTGACTCGGAGCCCACTGTCGTGCCTGTGACTCGGTGCCCGCCGCTTCGCCTGAGGGCCCAAAACCTGTCGCTCCGCCTGGGGGTCCGGCTGCCCGCCGCTCCGCCTGGGGTCCGGGCCCGCGCACGCCCCGCCTGGGGCCTGAGACCTGTCGCTCCGCCTGAGGGCCCGAGACCTGTCGCTCCACCTGGGGGTCCGGCGCCCGCCGCTCCGCCTGAGGGCCCGAGACCTGTCGCTCCGCCTGGGGGTCCGCGCCCGCCGCTCCGCCTGAGGGCCTGAGACCTGTCGCTCCGCCTGGGAGTCCGGCGCCGCGCGCCCGCTCTGCCTGGGGGCCCGAGACCTGTCGCTCCGCCTGGGGGGCCGAGGGGGGTCGCACCCGCCCGCTCCGCCTGAGGGCCCGAGACCTGTCGCTCCACCTGGGGGTCCGGCGCCCGCCGCTCCGCCTGAGGGCCCGGCGACCTGTCGCTCCACCTGGGGGTCCCGGCGCCCGCCGCTCCGCCTGAGGGCCCGAGACCTGTCGCTCCGCCTGGGGGTCCGGCGCCCACCTGGGGGGCTCCGCCTGGGCCCGAGACCTGTCCGTGTCGCTCCGCCTGGGGGTCCGGCGCCCACCGCTCCGCGCCTGGGGGCCCGATGCCTGTTTGCCCCGCCTGGGGGCCCGATGCCTGTTGCCCCACCTGGGGGCCCGATTCCTGTCGCCCCTCCTGGGGGCCCGGCGCCCGCCGCTCCGCCTGGGGGCCCGAAGCCTGTCGCCCCGCCTGGGGGCCCGATGCCTGTTGCCCCCCTGGGGGTCCGACGCCTGTCGCCCCGCCTGGGGGGGTCCGACGCCTGTCGCCCCCGCCTGGGGGCCCCACGCCTGTCGCCGCCCCTGGGGGCCCGATGCCTGTTGCCCGCCTGGGGGCCCGATGCCTGTCGCCCCTCCTGGGGGCCCGGCGCCCGCCGCTATGCCTGGGGCCCGATTCTGGTCGCCCCGCCCGGGGGCCCAATGCCTGTTCCCCGCCCGGGGGCCCGATGCCTGTTGCCCGCCCGGGGGCCGGTGCCTGCTGCTCTTGCCTCTGGTCATACCCGGGAGCTCTGACAGACTTCTAGGTTCACCAGAAACAAGATAGAATATAGGTTTATCCAAGGGATCAGCAGAGAGGTGTCCACCATGCAGCATAATTCCTAGGTTCAGATCCAAGTCATGACAGTAGATATACAACTAGTAAATAGATTTTGAAGCTAGAATCTTCACGGGCACTGGATACATAAGAGGAGTTTGACTCATACTTGGAATGTACCATTCTCCTCCAGGGAATCGTAAACCAATAGGGTGGTATAACCAAAATGTTGTAGAAACTGTTGACACAAAGCTTAACGGTAACTCCACTTTCGTGGAAAAGATAGCAAATAAAAAAAGTAATATAATATATACAATAGCTACACAAGTCCTATTATATTGGAATGTTATTAAAAATTACCTTTCCTATTCAATCTGTAATTTTCTGTAAAATGCAGTGCAATACAGCTACCTGAGGCGTTCTGTATACAGATGGTGTACAGAAATCCACACAGAAATGTTATGCCCTGCCTGTTTGGATTGGCTTACTGATTTTCCCAGAAGTCTGCACTAGAATACAAGTCAGATTTTGAGCATCCTATATATAGAATTAGAGCACAGTTTATCCTTCAATCCCCGCACAATCATAGATCTCCATATGCTCTCACCAGATTCTTCATATCAAGCACGCATTGTTTGTATATAATTCAATCTTCCATTTCTCTTCTTTTCCCATCCACTTCCACTGCTCGTACTCCCCAAAAATAAAAAATAACCAATATAGTATAGTATGTTCTCTGTAGTGTGATACATCCATGTGCTCACTTTACAAGGACCATAGTGTGATTCACTCTGCATCTGAACATAGACAAATAGCTATTTCTTCACAAAACAAAATGTAGGAATCTGTAGAAAAGTTTGTTTAAATCCTTGCAATGTACATAGATTGCCCAGAGGGGATGATTTTTTTTTCTAAACAAAGGGTACCATTTAACTTAATGCTAACTGTTTACTAAGTCTTTTGGCTGAATGCACACTTTGTGATCCTGCAGCCTGTAGTTTGCTTGGGGCCAGAGGTTCCTGCCAAATACCCCTTTTAATCTTTGTTAATACCTAGCCTTGGGGAGAAGGAATATTCAAAATGGTGCATGACATACAATTTTTGCTGTGTTTCGAATTAGTTCTTTTTAAAATAAAAACAGAATAATTTTTCTGTTATAGTAATATTTCGGAATCGCAATAATTATGTTTTGAGCGCACTCTCTGATGAGTATAGTGCAGGTGCCAAAGTTCATTGTGTAACAAATAGCAGTAGGGTGTCAATTAATATGAGCACGCAGCCTTTGTTAGAGACAGTGATTGACATATGATAATTTCATTAAATAAATCATTGTTTAGCTTAAGCACCAACATTTGGTTAGAACAATGGTCTTTTCTTTCCAA